TACAGTCTGCGTCGAAGAAATCTGAGAGTGCCGCTCAGGGCGAGGTTACGACCGGTGCTTCCTGAATGAACAGCTACGAGCGATTATTGTTCTTGTGTACTGAGCTAGTCACGCGAGATGAAGCGAAATCCTCGCACGCGTACTCGCACCGCCTGACATGTTGCCTATTGCATTCGAACTGTTGCTCGATGCAAAAGTGTCGCATCTCGCCTGGTACTGCAGCGGTGCTAAGCAGATGGCTGAGCTTTTTATCCATGAAGAACGACATCCCTCCTCAATCTCAAGCTGTTTGTAAGCCCAGTCTTTGCCCTCCCGAAGCCTAAGCCCTGCCAGGCCGGCAGCCTTCGACATTTCAGATGCCAAGATTTCGCATGAGGCTGTTTCAGTTCGGGTCTCTGTCTTAGCAGGGTTCATGGCTTTTTCATAGTTGGTAGCACACATGAGTTTCACACAGGGGGCATGCCTTGTCCCGGGCACGAGATCCGAGTCCCGGTGGAAGCGTCGGTGTCGGATTTGGTGTAGAAAGACTGGCATCTCCCTGACTGGAAACCATGATACGCGGTTCCAAGGAATTCTTTAGCGAGTTTTCAAGCTCGGCAGACCCAAAGCCCAAGCCCAAAAGCCAAGAGCCATGACTCCAAGAACTTTGAACCCTGACCTACGACACAGAAGTTATGTGCCATCTGCACTGTACTCGAGGTGCACCAATGCGAATAAGCCAAGCTCAAGCTTTGAACCTGAACAGTCTTCCCAGAGCCGTAACTGTAACCGCTTTGCCAGAGCCCGTAACCGTTTTGATGAAATGAGCTGCCAGGGCCAGCTTGAGTTTTAATATCGGTGGTTGAGATCGTCAGGCTGACCGACGTTTATGTGTATTTCGCTTGTGTGCGATGGGAGAAGAGTAACAGTAGAGTTTTGCATGGAGCTTGAAAGCACGTGCTCGAGACTAGACTATTTCATACTATTTCGGATCATCCCATGATGTGGTCATCTGCAGTAGGGTGCGACAGGACACCGGCTTGCCTCGTAATGGAGAGCTGTGAGTGGCAAAGCCATCACGCCATGAGTGACTTGAAACCCTAGAGCTTGCCGAGCAATTCAGAGGTTGAAGCGTGCAGCCCTAAGTGCTCGTTGCGACATGCGCAACCGCCCGAAGCCCGGATCTTCAGACCCCAAACTGCCACCCCGCCAGACCTGGCCAGCTAGCATCATGTGGTTGACTGGGGTTGGGTATCCAGAACCCATAAAGCCCCGTGCCGCGGCCTCCGGGGGACCTCCTCACCTCTAGCAGTGGACCTCATGTAGACAACCATGAAGCCTCTCGGTGCAGACAAGATTCGACTATCGTTTCTGTAGAAACCGGGCCTTGAAACTGAACCCCGACTCCCACAGCTTAAATTTCTCGCTGAAACGGTCAGGTGAATTCCACCCTAACCTCGAAGTGGAAAAGGGTGCGACGGGGTGAGGTTCCAGGATGTAGACTCTTTCTGGCGCCACTGCTGTTATTTGCTGCTTTACCGGACGTTCAATGTAGCGCGTAGCCAGTGGCCGTTTTGCAGGCTGGCCGCGTCTTGCATAGGCTTAGTACTTAAAGCATCAGGCCGACGTCAGATGTGCAAAGATGATCGGCTTGTTTGAAGCGTCGGGTTACTGGGGAGTTTCCCGCTGTGTAAAGTCATCCCTTGGAGCGTGCACACCGGGGGGCAGCCATTCCGAGCATGTTCTGGTAATGAGCAAGGACTTGTCTCAAGTCACTTGATGTTGCGCGTCTGTGCGCGTGTACATGGGGTTAGGCACTTCGGAGTCGGACCTGAGAGGCATCCAAACCTCAACTCTTCGAGAGTCTACACCGGGGGCTAAGCACTTCGGTGCATGGGGAATGGCTGGTTTCGATGTGCTGTGATGCCACTGATATCAACACTGACATCATGGACAGTCCCAACGACTGCTGCTGTTACATGCCTGAAAGCCTGTATACATGGTGCTTGGTTGGTAAAGTCGCAGAGTTTTGAAGGCTTCGGGACACATTCCTAGCAAAGCCTGCGCGTTGATATAGAAATCCTAACTGTCAATATGATGCTTGCTTCGGACGTCCGGCCCCAGCCCGTGACTCAAAAAAAGATGTTTGCGTAGAGCAGAACATGCTACGAAGCGCCTGAACATGGGGAAAGCAACTTGCAACTATACTTGTGGTGTGACTTCATGCTTGCTCACGTGACAAAGCTGTGTCGTGACTTCACGCGTTGTGGGGCGACATGAAGCTACTCCTGGTAACAAGGAGTCAAAAACTGAAACTTGCTGTCTGCTGGGTTGGTGCTGCTTCTGTGGCGGCTTTCGGTTTGGAGCTGCGGCACCCTGGCTGGGAAGGCCTTCTTATTGGTCTCGTCCGCAGGCGCTAACCCAACTTGATCACTCGGATGAACCAGTAAGCCAGTAAGCGAGAGACCTCTAAACTGTAAACCATAACTGGTGGCTCGAGCCCCAGCAAAGGAACTTACTACCAACCACTGCTTCGAACAACCCCATGGTTCTTGGGCCTCGGTCGCTGAATTTGAGAGGACCGCTTTTCCATAGTCTGCATGCCAGAGGAGCTCCCGGGCGCGACATCTAAGGAAAAAAAGATGCCTAGGTTCCGAGCTTGTGGGATGAAGATTTGTTGGGTGTCTGTGTCGGGGTGGTTTATGTTGAGGGTCTACGTTTTGCCGCCATTGCAAAATTTATGTTTCAGGTTAAGCTTCAAGCATGTTCAGGGTTTGCGGCTTGGGGTATCGTGGCCTCCAGGTATAGACTATGGTAACCCCCTGGTCAATGAACCCTTCTTCTTTGATCTTGTGACCCTATTACAACCTTGTCGAAGGCAAGAGGCTGAAACTTCGGCAACAAAACTGGACGGGACTGAATACGCAAGGCATCTGAGGTCAGATGACGTCTTGGGAATCTCGATTAGTTTTCGCAAAATTGTAGGGTCCTCACCTTTCGGAAACCCCTAGCAGCATCCCAAGCTTATGAAATGTCTCTAGCAGGGACCCTAAGTTGTCAGAACCCTGCATTGGAATGGATTTGGTTCGGGATCCATGCTCTGCAGCGAGGTCCGATGTCGCATGGCAGCTCATCGAGTTGTAAGCATAAATCTCTCAGCAGCACAGAACCCCATACAGCCCAGATAGAATCGGCACAACCTTGGCAACCCAGAAGCTCGCAAAATCACAGAATCCGCCAGAGTACCTTGGCTTACAGGCACCGTCTGGCCTCGCCTCCAGCACCCTCTCCCGCCACTTGCAACTGACGGAGTTTACGCAGGTCTTCTGCTCAAGGTTGCTTCAGTTTGTGGGCCGCGATCTAGGCTGCAAGGCCGGTGTGCTTTACGGATCAGAAGTTTTGGATGATACATGATTCAGGGCCTGTCGGTCGTACGTTGAATGGAGCGTCTCCTGCAGTTCTAGCAAGTCGGACGGATGCTCTGGCAAAACAGATGAGGTCGGAGTGGATGTTATTACGGGCGGTTGGGGCATGGATGCCTTGGCAAAACGGACAAATTCGGAGTGGAGGAAAAACCCTCAGAAGCCGAAGCTCTCGCAAGAGCAAAACCTAAGCAGAAAAGCAGAAATTGGCGACCGCCTGAGAAAGTCCTGAAAATCCGAGGTGCTCCAAACAACAGAAATCTCGCAAGTACCGAGTCGAACAGCTCAACATTGAAGGAAACACACAGGGGCGTGTATGGGTCACGGTCCAACTACCACTGTAACTTGTACGCACATTAGCCTGACTTAGCAAGGAACCTGAGCGCAGACTAACTCTCTTCCCTTTGGAGAAGTTCCTTGAGTCCCAGACTCAACGCATTATCGCAAGAACGTCTACGGCAAGTTTAGACCCGTAAACACACCTCCACACTGAGAGACTCCTGAACTCACGATCTTTGAGGCTTCCGTAGTTGCGGAGCAGCTGCCTCAGCTTATTTGTGGGACTGGAACGTTTCAACGCTTCGGTCGGAAAGCGTTACAAGGACTGTTGAAGTTCTCCAGGCCAGCATCAGTTTTACGATGTTTGCAGGTATATCCTGGCATGTTTTAAACTGAGCGGTAGCTTTGAGCAAATTGTCTCACGGTGACTGAAAAGTTAACTCCTGGCACAGAACATCAAGCCTTCATCACGCAGGCACATAACCGCGTAACCGAACTTAGAGCTTTAGCCGGACTCAAGTTTCACCAGAACCAAGCAGCTTTCACGAACATGGTGCAAAGCTGGTGGTTGTGGTGGTACTGTTTTGCTCTTACTGGTGCTGGCAGTGGGGATTGACACCAAAATCTTTGCCGCTGATTCTGTTGGTTCTGGTGGTAGCGTGCTGCCACGACTGCTGCTGATGCTGTTGGGATGGTGGAGGCGGTGGCGGCGGTGGCAGGGGTGGGTCGATGATGATGATGATGATGCTGATGATGCTGTTGTTGAAGATGACTCTGATGAAGATAGTGAAATGAAAAAGAGAACGGCGACGTCGATCATAGTGACGAGAATGAGGACCTCAGCAGAATGTGGAGGCTTCTGACTGTATCATAACCCACCACCCAAGTGTTCTTATGATTCCTGTCTGCGAATGGGTTCAGGATCCTGAGAGAAACGACAGCGGTGAAGCCTGACTGATGGAGCTTTCGAAATGAGGCAGACTGTCGAAGACGTTGAAGTGCAACACCTGAGCCTCAAAGTTAAGCAAGAAGAATTACCAAAATTCTGCGCACCTCCAATATTTCTAGGTTTGCAGCTTCAGATGCACAGTCCAGGCGGCCGCTGACCAGAGATGACCCTTGGCTTGGTCATCGTGCAATGAAAGGCTTTGCTTAAGAATCTGCTTGCAGCTTCGGTATCTGAGCGGCGGGCTTCGCAGAACAGTTCGTGCACATCCCAGGCACCAATCCTGCGACCTTAGCTCTCAACTTTACGGTGTCGCAATGCCGGCAGGATCTTCCCAGCATTTTCAAGCGTTGTAAGGCTCCTGAGGCTGCCGCCTCTTCGCGGTTTGTATCTTTCCGCTCTGCTCAGCCCTGACGTGCCTGCATAAGTTTCGGCTCATCTTGTCACATCGTTGTCTGCCCTGAGTGTGGATTCGCCTCTAGCCTTGCTACATGCAATGACCTATGGTAGGATTTGTACCTCAAGGAGACATGTTCCGGGGCGGGCTTCCTCGTGATTGCACCTGGAAGGGGGACGAAGCAGGTGGAAACGGCAGGAGGAGAGGCGATGGACATGCCGACTGGGCGGGAGGGGAAGGTCGGCACGCGACATCCGGTTGACTTAGAGGCTGGCGAGATTCGGTGCGGCGTGGTGCACATTTTCGAGTAAATCGCATTCTTTGCATAACCCTCTCGAGCGCTTCCGAACTTGGTGCATCGAGCCCCCGTCGCATTTTCTGGCCGGGCCGCACTGGCTCCGGGACGTTTCCATCTGAAGAAATCGTGCTCCCGCCATGGTCTCGTTTGCGTTCTCGATGCGGCTTGTGTAATCACCCCCGAAAATCGTTTCCGCCGAAGTCGTGCTCTCACCGCAGTGAGAGCATTTTGGACTCTTGGGCCGTATTGGGGGGGGCCAAGAGATGTGTCTGAATTTACTCGGGCTGCTTGGTGTTCTGTGCTTTCACTGCTCGGGGGTCATTTAGGGCTTAGAAAGTCTAGGGTTAAGCCCGGTCAAGCATCAATGTTTCGAAGTGTTTTGGGGTTGACGGCTTGGCCTTGACAAGGAGATGGTCCAGCTGGATCCTGAGCTACATTGCTCTGGCTGTGACGCGGCATAGGGAGTTGAGCATGGTCCTCAATCGCGAGCCCAGGCGAGAAGCTATGAAGCCCGACACCCTCAGGGCTCACCCTGCGGTGTAAAGCTACCTCGAAGCCTTCAGGCAGCAACCTGGAAGCTTCCTTTGAAGCAATCTAGAACGGCTTGAACTGGCTTGAACTTTAGATCCCAGACAGGCAGCTTGAACTTCAAGTCCCATGAAATTAGGGTATGTACATATATGTACATACACATACTTCATTCATCATTCATTCATTGATACATACATACTGAGCGATTGAACCGCTGCAGCCCTTAAGAAGGACTACGGCAAGATTGCGCTTGAGCACTTAGCAGCGACCTGCAGCGAGATGTGGTTCAACATCCCTGGCTAGGGAGGGTCCACGGCAACCTACTTAATTCACCTGAGACTTCGTCCTACACTGGGAGGAAAGCTGTGCAACGAGACTGAGTGAGGTCGGGTAGGCTCGTCTCTTCGGGGGCCGCGGCGCGGCTCTCGGGACAAGGACAAGTCGTAAAGGAACCCTTGAATCAAGGTTCAGTATTTCTTTTTGTTGAAAAGGGGCCCTCCTGAGTGGGCTTTCTTATTCAAGGGACCTCAGGGCTTGGGGCTACGGCAATGACAAATTCAGGACGTGGTTCGCAACGCCCAGGCAGAACAAACACGCTCGCAAGCCACATGTCTAGCTTCAGAATTCGGGAAAAACGGCTTGCATAAGCAAGCCACTGGCAGTCTAGGGTGTTCAGGTTTGTTGGGGTGGGTCAGGATAGCGAGGCTCCATCCAAAAATCGGACACCTGGAATCTTCTGGAGGAACTTGAAGGCAGGTGTGGAGTGGGACTGCTCGAAATAAGATACATCGTTGAAAGGCCGAACTGTCTTGAAATGTGTATGTGTTTATGTGTATATATACACACACATATCTATTCATCTATCTGGCTGTCTATCTATCTGGCTATCTATCTAGATCTAGAGACAGACAGACAGACAGACAGACAGACAGACAGACAGACAGACAGACAGATATAGATATGATGGGTATATATGAATACATAGGGAGAGAGAGAGAGAGAGAGAGAGAACATCATTTTTTGCGAGTTATCCAGACTGCAGACTGGTGTTTCTGCGGCAGGATTCGATGTTTTGTTGCTGCATGCACGAGAGCAATCCGAAAACCAGACCCTAATACTTCTAGCCTCGCATTGCCCGAGTGTCAGCATCAAAAATACCCCTACCCTTACCTTAGATACCTGTCAACTGTTCGAAGGCTTCTTTACAAGCGGCGGTGGAGCGATGCCTAAATGTTGGACTGCGCTATGTGTGTTTCCCGCCTTGCAGGATGTAACCATTAGGCTCGTACCAGCATGTTATGGCATGCTCTTTGTGTGTATACAGTATGTCTCAAGTCGAGGTTCGTCATCCACTGTCGCATGATTCCGAGGCCTCTTCTCAGGGCATTCGAACACGTTGCTTGGCGGTTAAGGGTTTGCAGATTCCGCGCTTGGTTGTGGGTAGATTGGCCTGGTTTCGTGTTCGACTGCGGGCTCTGGTTGTGAAAATTCTCAATGCGAGCGGCAACCCTACAGGTAGCAACACAAATCCAGGCCCTACGTCCGGAGACGACCTTGCCAGGCTTAGCTGAGTGTGAGCGACAAGAAACCCTCGCCCTACCCATAAACCCGAGAACTGCAGGTCCAAAACCGAAGGTTCCTTTGACTGTTCGGGGGATTGCGCTCAGCCTTGGTTTTGCCGGGGCTGCACGAACGTCTTTGAATATTTGAATGAGCCTGCTTGGATTGAACTTCGAACCCTGGTCCATTTTAGTTGATGATAAGTCCGAGTGTTTCAAACATGAGTGCGGGTGATTACTTAAGAGCGTATTTGTGCAGAGGGCTAAGAAGATTTTGCTTTCAACTGAAAACCTAGACTCTGATAAGTAGAGCAGTGCAAGTATGTCTTGATTGAAAACACGTGATTCTTCGTTCAGGTAGCTGTCTTGGCCTCTTTGCTGACTGAAAATCCACGGCGTCGAGCTGGAAAGTCTTTTTGTTAGTTGTTCTGGCTCAGAGAGCTGCTCGACTTTTCTCAACGTCTCGGCTTTCGGCCAAATGTTGTTTCTATGCTGTCTAACGAGCACTTTGGTTGTGCACAAAACTTGTTGATGCTTGATCAAGAGTGATTGGTCCTGTTCAGAAAATTACGCATATTCCTTCGAGGGAAGAGAGAAGACTTCGTGTAAGCCCCACAACTGCACGTCTTCAGCAACACAGCGGCAAACGTGAGCTCGCGCGCATTGGTCGGAGCAACTTAGGTTCACCGGCTGTCGCCCGAGCGCGCCTCTGAGCGGATGGTCTTTCTGGTTGGGGTATTATGGCGGAGTCTTAGAGTTTGTCTGGGGTAGTTGGGGATTGAGAAAGTGGGCTGTATTGAGCTGTAAGGCTTGGTAATGAAGCCACGTTGGCATCACAGCCCCAACTTCGAAGCCTGAGGTGTGTGCCAGGGCAAGGGCAAAGCTTCCAGGGGTCTAGAGATGTTGGGGCATGTTCGCCTTGGAGTTCGTATCGAATCAGGCTGTGGGTTGGGGCAGGAAGTATATGACAAAAGCTGACCATTCTATGTTTGGGATTTGGGGTCTCAGCTTCCTTTTGCGATGGCGCGACTTTAGTTCGGCCCTTTGGGTCTGTCCCTGTTCGGAGAGGTCGCAACGTCGCCAGAGGCGACGGCGCCTGCTCAGGCACCGAGAGTAGGAGTAGTCGGATGTCCCTTTGTTTTCATAGCTCTGGCCCGAGTCAAGATCTTGATGCAGGCCGCCTAGGCGACTGCTACTAAGTGGCCTACGGTTTCATCGCAGCGAGCGTTCTTATTTCAAAAACTTTCATTCAAAGAAGAATCCGACAGCATGATAGAAGGGGTTGCTAGAGTAGCCTCCCTGCGAGGTGCAAGGACGGGTTTGGGAACTTGACATTGGGGGTTTAGTTTAAGTTCTCCGCTTCTTGATATTCCAGAACGGAAAGATGCAGAGCCAGCCAAGAGATCAAGAACCTCGACGGTCACCGCCACAGGACCCTGAATAAACAAGCATAGCAATGCAAACATGACCGCAGAATATTAACGGTAGTGCTAGGACATATATCAAGATAAGACTGAGTACGGTCATCTCGGGGGCCGTTCTTCACCTGTCCCCGGAGGTGTGCACTTGCAGAATGTTGCAAAAACGAGCAGCAGCACGCAGATTTTCAGATGAGTTGTTCACTCCTGGGGGATGGTGTGCGGGAGGTGTGCCCCTGCGGGAACGGCAAATGCAAGGACTTTGCAGCGACCCCACTCGTTGCGTGTGTGCAGATGGTGGAATCATCAAAAAACACGACAGGCAAGGAATTATGCACGTAGGAGTAATGAATCGTTACAATCCGGGCGTGCTTAGACTTCAGCTCACGCTTTTAACAGCCAATCCAAAATCCCAAGCCTTCCGGAGCCAGGAGTCAAGGCGTGCAGGAGATGTGCCAGGAGCAGGGAAGCTTAATTTTAGCTTCGGCAACTTGGAGAGACCATGTTAGTCTGCAGTTCAAGCATATCCAGTCAACCCTCTAACGTTGAAGCAATAGTTCGTAGGGGGAAAGCATCCGTCAGTACCGCATCACCCAAAGCTCTTGCTGACCGCCGATACATCACCACGACCTTTTCCACCGGCGACTGCAGAACCCCGATCACCACCATGAGGAATGGGATCACAACCTGAGCAGGCTGTTTGTAGTGCGGCCAAGTTGCTCTGTCGACAAGACAGGACTGAACATCGCCAAACAAGACCATTTGCATGATGAGCTGAATGTCGTGCCTCGTGTTTCTTACGGGGTTCTAGGGCGTGTCTTACTTAGATAATCTTCTTACTGAGGTGAGGGTTGCATCCTTTTTTTGCAGAAGTGTCAACGGTCTTCTCTCCGAAACTGAAGACGGCACACTGACTCCTCATAAGCGTAACTTGGAAAGGGAGAGCATAGCCATCATCGGCTCGTATTGTGTGCAGGAGACCTGCCAAAACGGGTGGTGACATTGCTTCCTGCAGAGGGTCACGGCCTCACGGGCGTAGCATCTCAAGAGTTCCAGCCGGCAATCTAGGGTGGGACAGCTCATGCTACGTGGATATAGTGCTTTGGAGGGCATTTGCTTTCGTGAGAACGCATAAGCTGCTTTGAAGGACATGTTGCCTTGTCATGACCCTTTACAGGAGTCCTCAGCGAGGCTTTAGGGAGTCGTGCTATCCTCGAGTGGCAAGCAAAAACTCTGGACGGCCGCAGGGGGATTCTTGTGGCGGGTCACGCAGATGGGCTGTCAAGACTACTTGACTTCCCTAGCCTGGATGGTCCAAGTTGAAAAGCTCAAACCGCAGAGCTGCAGAACCGAAAGCCTTCAGCTGGACGGTGGATTGACCCCAAAGACTCCACACTCGACCGAGCTCAGTCTGTGATGCTCGCAGACTGGGAGAGTCACGGGCAAGAAATTCTCGATTTCTGAACATGTAATGAGCATTAGTTACAGGATTTCGATTGGAGGAACCCCCTTCCACCCAATGGAAGAAGTTGCTCCTTTTCTCAGCAACTGATCCAACTGAGGAAGAGCTTCCTTGAAGCAGTTGTGACCGTCCTCTCGAATAGTTACAGTAACTCTTGGAAGATTTCCCGTGACGGGACAGAGGATTCCGGCCTTCTTGCGAAAGGATGAACGAGCAATGTTGCGCTTATCAACATGCAGCGGAGCTCTCTCAGTTCGGATTCGGGGAAAGAGCACAGCTTTGTCTCTCTTCACATGAGCTCCCACGTGTCCGCAAGAGACAGAGGAAAACCGGCGTAAGCCAGTCCGTACTTTGTCGTCTTTTCATCCGGAGGACCGACCATCGCGCCTAAACCAGCAGAGGCGCCTATCGGTGCTGCTTGCGGGTTGCGCTCGAAGGGCTTTGTGGGTTTTTATGCAGAAGCTATCTGTTGCACAAGGTTTCGAGAGGTGTACCAGGTGTTCAGTGGTTTGTGATATTGCGAACTTGGTTTGCTTTGGAAGGGATTGCTGAGTTTTGTTAATTAAAGAATTCGCGCACCCCCCATCGGTGTCGGAGATTGGCTTTGGGGATTTGGAGTGGGTGTACTGCGGCTTTCCGGGCTTTTGCCAGCATGTGAGGCCTTGCAGAATCCATTTACCCTAAGCAGACCCGACATCCGAATCGAAGTGAGTGAGACTGTATGAGTGGAGCGATACAACTACTGAACTTTGGTGCGGTGCAAATTTGCAAATCAGCATGTTTGTGCTTCGTGTTCACCGGCTGACGCCCGGAACGTGCAGTCGACTCTGTATGAAAGCTGAGCCAGGCTTGCATGTTCCGGGACCCTTTTTCTTGGGTCATATGGGCTGGTCAAGTTGATGTAGGCCCGAAGCTTCGTTAACTGATTCAAACAACGAGATATCTCAGGTCGCAGTGCATGTCAGCGAAACATGTGCTTTGGTCTGCGAAGCTTGCGATTAGCGGCACACTCCCCGTCCACTTGTCAGTATCACTACGTTGGCACGGAGTGGCCCGGAGGGCTTTGTTTTCGGTTTAGTGGTTTGTAGTTTGTTTTGCTGGCTTTTAGGACGCTGTCAATTTCGGGCATCATCCCACGCAAGGCTGCAAAGCTCCTGCTTCGAATCCCCAAACCTGGGGACCCTTGATTTAGCGGCCCCTGTCCAGGCTACGCGGCCTCAGGAACCTTCGGCAGACGCAGGCCCAAAGACGGTAGCGAAAAACTGGCCAGTTCTTAAAGCCCAGGCAAATCGGAATCCATAGTCACATCGTCTCCAACATGTTGCAGGAGTAATTTTCAGTTTTTAAGGAGGCTTCTGCCGCCCAAGACGAGGGACTTAGGCGCTACCCTTAAATAGAAGCTTGCTTGACCATGCTCCAGAGAAACAAATTGAACCATCAGTTGTCCAACTGCAGCCAGTAACATTGAAGAGGGCGGGAAAGCATCACCAAACACTGGCACAGATGTGGACTTTGCTCAACAGTACAGCATGGGGCTCACATTTCATGCCGCCAAAATACCAGTTCACCAGTTAGCAGGGCTGCTGTAAGTACTACAATTTACTACAAGTTCGATTTCTTCATTGGTCTCTTTCACACGCACCCCGGCCTCTAGGCTTGAAGCCAGAGCAGCTGAGCCCCAGGCGCAGAGGAAAGCCACATCCTCCGCCTCCGCGACTACGAGCGAGATCTTCAGGCGGCGGCACGCTTTTGAAACGGGCGCTGGCTGAAGGGTTCGAACTGTTTTTCTTTGTGTTGATTTACACGGTGTGAAAAGCTTGGTGCTTAAGTTAAGGGTGCTTCACACTCGGCCTCTTGTACCTGCCTACAGCCCATCTATCCTGAAAGGATGCTTGTGTTCGGAGCTTATGGTTGGGAGGGGGCCGTCTGAAGCCGGCTAGGTTCGGCATAAACTCTTAGATTCCATAGCGAGGTAGAGGCGCCCTCACCGTGGCTGCAGGCTCCCCCGACCTCCAGTCGTGGGCACAGGAGTACTGTATAACCCTGATCTGGAGGCCTAAAATATCGTTGTTTCGGTGGATGCTCCCAGTCTGTGCTGAGTAGGAACTTTTGCGGTTTAGGGTATGCAGTGCAGTGTAGGCTTCGGCCTGGGGTTGAAGGCATGGGGTACTAAATGTCGCTTGGGGTGGAATGCTCAGTTTACCAGCTTTTATCAGGTACGGAAGGATTCTGGAATGGTCTAGTCAGTTGACCTCCTGCAGAAACGACAAATCTCCCCTGTCATTGTATGGGCCTTTCCTGGGCTCTAGGCTTGGGATCTATTACCACAGGCCTTGAAGAAGCGACACAGAGAGGAGCGGGGGGGACCTCAAAGGCCCGCTCCAACCTGGGACCCCAAACCCTGCACCCCTCAAGGTTTATGGTGGGGAGTGCGCTGCACTAGCAACTACTAGCAGCGCGGGTGGGCCTGCAGGCACGCTTGGCGAAGTCTGAAGGCGATCGCCTGGTTGCACAGGCGACTTTGGCATGCTGGGGCTCGAGGTTTCATGATGCTTCATGATGTTGCATGGTTCGTGTTTGTCGAGATGTATTTACTTGCCGCAGGATTTGCGAATGCGAGAGGCAGAGCATAGTTCTGTGTCCAGGAAATTCCATGACCATGCGTTTTTCAGGGTTCAGCGAGAACCTTAACAACAACGTCAATTCCTGACAAGCGGTGGGACGGCGATGAACAATCGAACGGATGTGTGATGTTTGGGGCTTGGTTGAGCAATCTGACCGCGACAAGAGCACAAAAGGCGACCTGCAGAGCCCGCACTCGTTTTGGTTGAAGAGCTTGAACCAACATCTTGGAAGAGAAGAAGGTTGCGATTTGTCCATGGCTAGGTCAGGTTGTGTGCTTTCGTATTGCAACCAAGGCCTGAAAACCTGAAGAGCTTGAAAGGGCTCGTATTCATATCTAGTTTGCGTTAGGCGCGTCTCGACGATCACAGCTCCGAGCTCTCATCCATGCGCCGCGCCGTCGAAGACCGAGCAGCTAAAGGGGGTTGCCAGGGCTTGGTGGATCCTGGGGCCTCGAAACATTTCTGTGTCAGACTCTGAGGGGTTTGAAACTGTGGACAGTGGAGGTTTTCAGGCCGCAGAGGCCTCAGATTATTACTCGAAGGTTTCCAGGCAGGCAGGCATGTTTAGGAATTTTCGGCTCCGGAGGGCCTGTAGGGCTGCAGAGCTCTGTTCGCACCTTGCAGATTTCGAGAAGAACACCTGCGTATGTCACGTGGGCAACATGTGGGCCGGGCTTTTGGAAAGGCAATCGCGAGCCACGTCTTGCCACCTCCCCCTCAGCTTACGGCCGCGGGACTGCAAAAGTGGTCTCAAGGTTATCTCGAAACCTGAAGACTGTCAATCACTCAAGACCCTAACCTTGTCTTCGAGTTCGCTGAAACTTTAACCCCGCTGCAAGTGTTCAAGGGGGCCACGAAGCTCCGACCTTTAACCCTAATTCTAAGCCGCGAAACCAATAGAACCCGGGCACTGAGAGGACGGCGATCAACTGCGGCGGCAGAATTCGGAGCCGGAGCCTTCTGTGAAGAACTTCCTAACTGAGTCCTGCGGACTGTCTTTTTGTTTGGGTCAGGGGGTCAGGGGCTTGCGGGAAAGGGATTTATGTCGCAGTCGCTGCCTAGGAGTTCTTCGGGCGCAGGCTCACGTAAAAGAAGATGCTCACAGCATGAAGATGCGATGTTCCAGACGAGTTGCCTAGCATTCCTGGCCTTGAGTGTCTCGGGGGCGGGAATCTGGCGCGACTGGCACTTGAGGGTCCGTTCTCATGGAAGATGCCCGCAAAGAGCTTCGCTCGTGTCTAGCTGTTGCCGTGAGCTTCACAAGATAGGAAACACCCGCAACTTGTAACGACAGGCCCGAACTTGTTACAGATGCCGTGACGAGGCTGAAGGTGGAGTTGGCGATCGCCAAACGGATGCTTGGGACTTGACGGCTTGGCGTTCAGGGTTCGGGGGTTGGGAGTTTGTGCTCCAGGGTTTGGGAGCAGGATGTGTGTAGGAGGACATGCTTGTTCTGGGGACCCATAGGAAAATCAAGAAATGCTGGCTTGCATTCCACGTCAACTCTCTTCATCGGTTGCCTTGAAATTTGTATACACATCGACAAATATACATGCACAGAGAGGCGCGCACACGCACATGCATACTTGTATGTGCGTAGGTGGGTAGGTATGTGTGTGTGTGTGTGTGTGTGGGTGCGTGTGTGCGTGTATGATTGTGTATGTACGTCTGTTTAGTTGATGTGAGACTGCTTCAAGTTCCGGTAGCGACCTCGGAGTATTAGCCCAGAGCCACATCGGCTCGAGGCTAACCTTGAACCAAAGTAGTAGGATCGTTACTACAAGGACCCCCAAATAAAGTGGGGTATCCCCATTTCTAAGAAAGCCAGCTTTCTAGCTCCCATGTACGGCAACTTCGAGTCTAGGGTAGACACCACTAAGTTGTTTTGCATGGTAGCCCGTCAAGGTCTGTGGAGGTATACCCAGAACCTAAGTGCCCGCAATCCCCAGTGTCGTTTATCGGCCATGGCTCAGCCAAAGCCCAAGACGGTCATCGTGGGAGGAGGTGGGATGGGAGGGATGCTCAGGGGGAGTAGGGCTTAAGGTTTCGCTTTGTCGCTGGGTCGTGAAAGTCAAAAATCCGTGAACCCAGAGCGGCACAAAAGCCCTTATGCAAAATGTTCAAAGGCTGGAACCCTTACCTCCGCCCAGTTAAGAAGTTTTGAGGCACCAGTCTCCCACGGAGAGGGAGAGAGAAAGAGAGAGAGAGAGAGAGCGAAAGAAAGGAAGAGTATCTGTTGGGTGATTATGCGGCAATGATCTGTTGGGTGATTAACGGGCAATATGTTCTGAGTGATTGCTTAAGATCAGTTGTTAATGTTCGAGGGCCTTTATCTGGAGTATCTTGGCCGTGGTTGTGCCGGGCTTGGTTGCGACATTTCTCTTGAGGGAAGAGTATTCGTCTAAACCTGAACCACAGCAGCCCACCACATTGCATAGGAATTGGTGGCTGCGCAGCTGCCATCGCGTGACTGGGCCGCAGGGCTTTGTGGCGTGTGCAGAGCAACATGTGCACGGAAGTGCCGAAACCCTGCAACAGAAGCTTACAGTGGTGCCAAATCCACGAAGCTGCAGCGCCAAGAGAACCCACCCTAGAAGGCAACTGACATCAACTAACTAAAAGCTCGCGAACGGAATGCATGGTTAGGTGTGAAGAATGATGACCGATTATGAGACCAACCCTCTTAGGCCTCCCCAAATGCTCAGGATTCGGCTGAAGGGTTCTTCATCATTCCACATTCCAGACATCTCGGAGCCAGAGTCAGGCTGTTCCATGCCGGCGCGGACGTCACAGTCTACGAGGTGCAATGTCATGTTGACGCTAAGACATGTCAAGACTAGGTGGAGGTGCTTTGGCTTTTTTGACCTTGCATTGCAGCCATTGCTAGCAGGATGATGATGATGATGATGATGATGATGATGATGGCGGCAGTCATGGTGATGATGATCAATGATGGTGATGGCTCGTGTTGGCGTAACCCTTACACTTATCGTTCTGTAGGCTGAGAAGTCAGACCTCGTTCTTTCGGGCTGGCAGTCCGGCCCAGGGCTTGGAGCTTCCAAGATACGTCCCTCTCCTGCGTTGCGGTCGAGCGCAGGCTCGGTTCCCATAGGCCCTAAGGCCATAGGCAACCGCACACACAGAAGCCCAAATCTCCAATGCCCAACAAACGCTTTCCGGGGCCACCTCCGCGAGCTCCAGGCAGCAAGTGCTCTGAGGGAGATCGGAGCTGGGATCAACGTGCAGGCTGTCGCGGTAGGCGCTTGCACTGCAGAGCCCTCAACCTCCTTCATCCCCTTCAATCGTCAAATTATAAGTTCTAAATCCCCTGACGGTCCGAAACACGCGAACCGCCGTTCGGATCTTGTGGGTGTCTCGCTCTTTCTAGCGATTCTTATCCCGGAGATTGCAAGGTTTACCAGGACATATTGTCAATGGCGTACACTACCTTGTGGAATCTAGGGCACTGCTTCACTCCTTGTATGCGGTCTCTTGCTACAGGAAGGAAGCTTGGCACTTGCACGAGGTGCTCGCCTACTTCAGCCCTGCACCCTACACCGAATCTGACAGCCAGAATCCTGGACTGCTTGAAGCCTCACTTCAACCTCGAAGCCACACACAGCCACATCTAAACGTCCTAGATGCAATAGAAGATGTGCGATTCGTGGCCATTGCGGGCGCCGAACGGACCAGCATGTTTTCGCTGTCTGGCTATAGTCGGATAGACTCCCGGGACCCTACTCCTAAAAAATTTCGGCTCTCATGCTCCCTCCTTGCATGCTGTGGTTTGAAGAGGTGCCTTGATCGACCTCGGCATCCCCTTGGAGAAGTTCCATGACCAGGAGCAAGGACGGGGAATTCAATCTGTCATGAGGTTAGGATCAAGTTGATTTAGGGGTTTAGAGTTGCCCAGCTGCCGAAGGGTTCACGAACGGTCCCATCAATCTTGACAAGCTTGGAAACTCACGCTCTAGGATGCTCTTGGGTTATCCAATGTCCTGTGAGCTGTAGGAATATGGGGCTTTCGAGGGCTGGCTTCTTAGTATTCATGGTTGCTCGAAATTCGGATCCGTGCATCGGACCCCTGCCAAACACCTGGGCTTGAGCTGCTTCCGAGAGTTCGTGAGCTAAAACCGCAAAAGGCTCTGGGTTCGTTGAAGTATTGCTGATTTTTGTCAGCGGTTCCTGCTGCTTTAAGCTTTGTAGTTCGGGATGTCAGAGTTGTAGGATTGTAGGATTGGCCACCCGCTTGATGCCAGGCCTCAACTCGGCTGTGTTGGTTCATGTCTACGGTGTTTCTCTACTTGGCGGTTGTAGTTCTCCTCCGCAAAAACAAGTAGCTGCTGATGTGCGAGCGTGCCTCTCGCTGGCTGGTTTATGGCCTTTGGTTCTTACATGTTCCTTTGTTTGGGTTCATACGGTCTTTTTCCTAGCTATATGATGAACTCGCACGTCACTGTAGCAAGCCTCGTTTGGTTGGACCTGCCACCTGAATCCGTGCTTGCTCCGCGCGAGCCGAAAAGCTCGAAAGTCATGAGCTGAAGGAGATAGCATCCTGACGTCCTCCGTGGAGTACTTTACCAGTGACGGTGTCTTCATTGCTTCCGAAGCCGTGGGGCCTTTTGCATGCAGCTGGAGGTTGAAGGCTCAGAGTCTGGAGTTTTGGGTACTCAACATGAACCACAAAATCACATGTCACACCACGAACCCTTTAGCCACAATCAGAGGACCGAATCCCCAAGTTCAAACCTTTACAATCGGGACACAAGCAGCGAGCCCTGTGCGACCTAAGCCAAGCTTAAGCTTGCTCGGCCTTGTCAAACTAGTTTCCTCCAAGACCCTACAAAAGCCTCCCTCCAAGCCTTGTAACTTTTCAGCAGAATCCTTGCCCGGCGATGTCAAAAAGGCCCCACCCCCAAACCCATACACACTCCAGGCGATGCATATGGCATAATTCTGGCATATGGTTCGTCCGAGTGTGAGCGCCGAAACCCATACACATGCGGGCTTGTCCTGAGTAGGTGGGAGGCAAAGAACCAAACAAACAACCCTTGACTGTCAAACCCCGACAGCCCGCCCACTGCTTGCAAGCCTGCAATCCACCAAGCGCCATCCTCGAGCCCCGAAACCCTAAACCCCTAAACCCTAAACCCCTAAACCCTAAACCCTAAACCCTAAACCTCAGAGCTCTTTCAAAGCCCTCCAGGCGCAAGGCTGGTGCACCGCACCCGCAGCTGTCGGCCCACCGAGCTCCCCGGATCTCCGATGGGTTTGACTTTCAGTCGTCCCGAAAAGCCTCCCTTTTGAAGGTTCCCAACGATTTCACTATCGTTTCTGGGGTGGGGCTCAGGGACTGAAGTTTTAGGATTTAGTTTCGAAACAAAGCTGAATCTAGGCTTCAGGGTTGAGGCTTTAGGGATTAGGGTCTGTGCACGGCAGCACCTCCTCAAAAGTTTAGGGTTAGGGCTCAAGGGTTCAGGATGTTTCAGGGTTCCCTTACCAGGGACGAGACAGGCAACAAAGCCGCTTCCTATTTTAAGGATGTTCCAATGCACATCCTGCACACATCTCTCCTCCCAGACGCGCCGATATGCTCGAGGCCCTGCCAACCATGGTAAAGTTGTGCAGCCTTTGCAAAACTTCGCGTGCAAAGCGGCCCCTACACTCGGGTGGGTCCAGGTAGGTTTCGTGCTTCGATTTAAGATGCAGGGTTTAGGGCTTAAGGGCGTTGATGAGTTAGTGTTCGGGGCTTGGGATCATAATGTCTGGGGCCTTCCAGGATTCGATCGAGCGCCGTGTGGCACTTGTGAGATGCAGTAGATTTAGATTATGTGGCATGGCATCCTTCACCGTTGCCGCTTTTTCGTGTCATGTCATCGTTTCGAGTCGACACATGCTGGATTTTGGGTGGTTCGGGGTGGCTGGCGGTTTTGGCATCATACAATTTCGTTGCGGCTTCAAGCTAGCTCTCGTCAGCTAGGCAGGTGAGATACATACGTTCTCCCCGACTTGCCTCCTTAATCGGCCTCCTGGCGATGCCGGTTCCAGGCATTTGCAACCACCTCTCGGTGCCCAGCAGACAGAGCCCTCACGTGGAAAGTTCGGAAGCCCACGTCCTGTTCGAATCAGGCAAAGTTTCACAGCACCCTCGTCGCCGAATGCCGCCGGCTATTGGGAGAGGAGCCACATGTTCCAGAATAAAGGTTTCGTAAGGGGCCTAAGGGGTTTAGGGAAGTTCAGGAATCCATCTGTGTGAATCCCTGTCTAATGACTCGGCAGTGTTGAGCCTGCTGCAGACATCACCACACAAAGTCCGCCATCAGTTCTCCTCGAGTGCGTGCAGGAGAAGCTCATTCTCAACCACAGCTTCGTGAGTTTCGAGCAGATGGAGGCGTTCGTAGAGGGCTCCGGAACTTACTCATCAACTGCTTTGGGGTGCTGTCAGGGGTTTCTTATGGTTTCACCAGGTCTGCACACAGACTGTTCTCGAAAAATCATGCACGGTTCAGACGAAGAACAATTGCACAATGAGGTTCGAGGTACCCTTGAAAAGCCCTGGCATCAGTAGGAAGTCCAGATAGGTTCGCGCGGCTCCCTGCTATGATTGCTATCGCTTCGAAGCCTAGGCTTTGGCTTTAGGATCAAGTTCTCTGACAGCCAGAAAATTGAGAACTTCAGGATGGCAGGCTCTCGCTGCAGTTCGAAAGCACCGATGCGCAGCAGGCATTGCCTCCAGCTTCCTCGCCGCACTCGGGGATTTCGAAGTGCAGGGTCAGCGTCGCGATTCTCAGGATGCGGTCGGCTGAAAACCCATAGCTAAGAGCGCATCAGCGTTTTGGCCAAGGAGCCAGGAACTTTAGCTCCTAGTGGTCCAGCTCCCACAGCTTCAGTCGAAGGCCCATCGATGCTGGCCCGGATTTCGCTGTTCTTACTTACAAGACGTGTGAGTACGGGAAGCAAAATACCCGAAGATAAACGTACTTGACGGTGCTGTTTCTTGACGGAAGGGGCAGAGAACACTGTGAGGCTGCAGCCAGCAGGAAAAGACCAGTGACTGACCTTAGTCACTAAGTTCGACCACGATACTAAAATCCCGAAGCTTTTGAACCTCCAGCATCCTCGTCCCCGAACTCGGTGGAAAAGAGTTTGGGCTTCGGAATGTTCGGCTTCGCCGGTACCTCGAGGTTTGCTTCGCCTTGGGGTTTCCTCATTGGGATTGGGTGGGTTCAGTCTCCGAAGCTTGGAATCATGATCCCAAACCGCCTCCAACTCAATTCCTAGTGGAGACCCCAACTCCAGGACTGAGGCAGAACATGGAGCCGAAAACCTATTTGTAGCACCCAAGGTTGATTGTGACTTCCTGGTCGCCGCGGACGGCACCTCGTCACAGTACCCCGTGGTGGCGAAGGGGAAGAGTTGGATTCAAAGAAACACTTCAACAAGGCAAAGGATATGGGTGTTTGGAGCTTAGTTTCCGGCTCAATATTTGCGTTTAAGCTTCGGTTAAAGTGCCATTCGATTGCGGTCCCAAGCCAAGAGGACCAGCGGAGGCATTGAATTGTGAAGGACAACTAGAATCGACTAGAAGTTCACTACATTCTTCGATTTCTCCCCAGGCACAGTACAAACACCTGCCCTTCCTTCCGGTGTGTCTCGCGTCCAGGGTCTACCGCACGGTTCTGCGATGCCATGGCCGACTTTCGGAAGTTGTTTCATCACGACGGAAAAGACCTCATCTGAATCAACCCAGGCTTTTTACCACGCCCTAGGTCTCCTCTTACGTGTCAAACTGTACAACATAATATCTCGAGCTTCTTCTGAGTCGATACTTTTCAGGCTACAAAGGCTTTACTGACGACCACGTCCCACAGCCAGGCCGGAACCGCTCGAGCACAAAGGAACCCTGTAAACTGAACTCGAAACTCGAAGAAAAGGCGTGGAATCCGAAGCAGGGCCTTGCAAAGAGAAGTCAGTCTCATTCGCCTTGTCAACAGCAGCCCCAAGAATCTGTTATCGACGGCTTATAGATGAATTCCCTTTGGCAATCTGTTGGAACTTTGCGCCCAAGCTTACACCTGAAAGCTAGCATCACTCAGACGGCAACAGAAGTTTTGCAAGCACCCACACGCTGAATGTCGAAATCTTCACCTTCTTACAAAGAGCTAAGAGCCGAATCGTGCATAAGACCCTTCCAGACCACGGAGGCCGCATGCCCGACATTAGCACAAGTCATATTGAAAAAGCTGCAACAGCTGCAAGGACGTTTGTGAAACCAACACTTTAAACCATTAATTAATATCAAGGCCCCATATTCACAACGACTGGACCGGCCAGACAAGGTCTCAAGAGCCGAGTGCGTGCTTCGCTCTTGGGCTCCGCCGAGCCCAGGCGATTCCGCTTGAAGTGTCAAGATGTTGCTTCTTTGTGTTCATGTGTGCTTTTCTCCTAGGTATTGTCTTCACGAGTACACGGATCATGTTTCCCGTTTTTACGACTGTTCCTCGTGCACGGGTTTACAAATTATATTAAGAATCTTTGTGCGCATGTGTGCTTTGCTTTAATTTTATCGTGCAGCAACTGCTTGCTTTGCGTTGCGGCTGCTAGCGTAAAACTGCTTGCCGGATTCGTATCATCATGGTCGTTGCTAGTTTCCAGTTGACCGGCCTCACTGGCCAATTTTGCTTGATCTCAGGAATGGTAGTGTTTTGGATTCCCCAATTTCGGGCTTATGCGCCCTAGCCCTCGGTCGGTGCATGTTTGAAGTCCGAGGCGTTGCATGGGAAGTTGTTTCTAGGCTTGCTCCCTGCTGGTTGGATATTTCTTTGGATTCTTCTTGTATGTGGAGAGCAAAGCATACTAGGATTTGTTTTCTCCGTGCCAGAGAAGACCCATGTAGATGGCCCCGCGGCTCAGATTTTTCCAAGCAGTTCTTCCGTCGGATACTGCCAGAGGTGTAGCGCCCATGTGTTTAGCACATCCCGAATACCATGCACCTTCGGCAGGCGCTTGCATAATCATGTTTTGAAGTGGTGGAAACTTGCGACGAGTTCATGCTGAAGGGTTTCGTAGAGTCTACCGGCAGTTTCTTTGTAGACTTTAGAACCAAGAATATTTGCTGTGAAGTCTCTAGGCATTGCCGGCTTACACAGTGAGACCAGCCATAAGGAAGGATACAGTTATTTAGCAAGCGGCCTATCTCCTCGCGATCAAACGGTGATTCCAGCATAGTCGAGGGTCCCTCCGATTTGGAACGACGAGGCTGCACATGGCCCTTGGGTCACATGCACGGGTGGAAACCACAAATATGCCCAGCAGCAGCATCACGATCGTATGTATCATCGCCATCGTGTTGCTGTGGCCCTGGCTTGGCTTTGTCAGGTATACAGGCAGGACCATTTACCGCGGCCTTTGTGAGGAGCTTCGGCAGAGCTTAGAAGTATTTCTGAAGCTTCAATCGGCTTCAAAGAGCCTCAGCCCAAAACTGTGTGGCCTGAAGCGCTCGTAGTTTTCCTGAAGTCTTACTTCGAATTCTGTCCGAGATGCAATACCTTGAGACCCCGTGTTTGGTTGTTGGTTTTTTGTCGCAGTGTCAGTACGATCAGCTCTGTCTTTGGTGAGCTGCCTTGTTGTGAAGACACATCCGTCATGTGCTGCATCTTCAACTCTTGTCTGTGTGGTTTAGCCGTCACTGGGGACCAGGTCGATTCAGTCAGCGGAGATGGACCCTTGGCTGCACTTCCTGCACTCTTCTCCAGCTGCTGACCCGAAAGAGAAACCTCCTCGATAAGAGCAGTGAATAGCTTCAATAAACACGCGCAAGAGTGCAAATGCCCTCAAGAACAAGACTTTGGGACAAAGCACCTGCTTCATCAGCGCATGGGAAAGTGCGGAATCTGGGCTACTACATGCCTGTAGAAGTAGTGTCAAACCGAACAGTGCTGTGCCTCTTGCTAAGGAAACTCAGGAATCTAGGTTACTACTTTGGTCAACTGGCTGTGCCAAGGCCGTACTGTGTCACTCTGCGGCGACCAGAACTGCAATTTCATCTGCTATCCGATCAGCTGCTTGGCTTCAGCGGCGGGATCTCGTGATCCAACAGCCCTAGACTACGCCCAGACACTTCCTAGGTCCGAAGGTTCAGGCGCCAGGTCATCTCAAAGCAATTCTGACACCAGAGCTTGAGATTGCAAAGTTTCACGGTAGCTTAGGTTGTTCTCGGTGAGGACCCTCTGGAACGCCCGTGTGCGAATACAAAAGCCCCTCCGTCGAGGGAACTAGAGAAAATGAATTTCAATCAAGAGCACGAGAAGCCCTGAGAAGCAGCTTGTGGGAACAGTCTGGTTTAGGGTAGCCTCCCAACACACACAAAAGAAGGTTGCAAAACTCGTCTAAACCTCAGGTGAAAAGCTAAGGGCACAAGGGCGCTTTCACTGCAATTGGGGCTTTTGCACCCTGAGGCCTGCCGTACAGGGAAATTGGCGCGACATGGTTGATATACTGGGCACCTTCATGTAAATATTGGTTGGCAACGATGTGTGGGATGTTTGGTGGCATAGACGAAGAGTGACTAATGATAAATGAGATAATGGGACATCCATGATGTTTTCGGACTGTAAAGCAAAGTGAAGAGAAAAATCATGTGCCCATCAATGCACTGCACAATTGCTGGCCCCAAACCCCTGAACCCCCCGAGCCTTTGGTCTTTGTGCCAGCAGAGCTTGGTGCTACTAGCCAGGAGCAGCAAGGATGATCGTCTCAATGAACTTAGAAAACAACTACCGCATGAAGGCAATAGAATGACTACTCTTAGCATTACCTGCCGTAGTGCTGTCACTTAACTGAAGCCAGAACAGCACCCACAAGCCTAAATCCCAAGTGGATGATTCTGCTAATGGCTTTTGCCGCTTGTTTCCGTCCGACCCCAGACGCCTCGACCGGGAGCTGTGCGAGAGTGAGAGTCGGATTTTTTCCGCTGTGGCAGGCCGCATCCTGGCGGCGTGGAGAGTTGGACGTCCTTGGCCAAGCTCGAGGACGTCCATGGCTTTGGGGCCTTAGGGTTCAGGATTTAGAGCATTGTAGGCTGCAAGGTTACTGACTTGCGCAAGGATACCCCGGAATCGCATCTCTGGATTTCGAGCGCAAGCTTCCTTCCGCAGGGCCGTAGGAGTGGGAAATAGTGAATCTTTGGTTGTCCTGTAAGCACAGGCAACCATACGCCCACATAGCGTTAACTCTTCATCAGCTTGGATAGATGTTTTCAAGCACCTCGGTTCATAGTGTCTTTCTGCTGTTCAGAATTTGGGAGACCTACCACATGCTACCTACGCCCCCCCCTAGAACGACACTACATGAGTGTTGCAATTCGGCATGGGGTTTGCCAAACCATAGGCCCCAGGCCATGAACCCAGTGGCCTGCTTTCAGAGCGCCTTGAAGCGCGGGAGGACATGACTCTTCAGAAACAGAACCCCTAGATTCCTGGATCCCTGAACCCGTAAACGCCTAGGTAAAGCACGAAAAAAGCCCGACTGCACGGGCTACGAAGGCAAGATGCCGAAATTGAACTCCAAGTTTCCCTACAAGCCGAATCAAGCCGAGAGAAATCTGGAAGTCCTCCAAAACCTCACGACGATCCTGTAAAAATTCGCTGTGCAGCGTCTCAGAACGGCCCTGGAAAGCCCTTTCCCTGCTTCCGAGGACATCCGAGAGGCCTGGAGATGTTTGGGATATTTCGCCTACTATGTGCCATCAGGTTTGACTGATGGATTTTAGTGCCTGTAGTTCTTCAATCAATCCAGGGTTTCAAGGATTTGTGCCTGTCCTGTACGTGTTACAAACAGGCCGTAGTTCAGGCGGCCGTGTTTCCGAAGCTCAAGTCCTAAGTGGTACGGTCCGGCAATGCAAGGTTGAGCCCAAGTAACCCGAGTATCTACAATCTACAACTCTGAGACGACAGGTCTTAAACCGGTGCGACATCCCACCCTACAGCTTTTATTTGCCAAACTTTCTAAAGCTCCGGCCACAAGCCGGAAGTCACAGGCTCTAGCTTCATGCCCCCCAGGCCGGCATTGTTCGCATTCTTAAGAACAGGCACCAAACTCCTATAGAGCCCTAGACTCCTGAAGCCGAGACGGCGGATTGTAGAGGACCCTGCAGCCCTACAGTAGACCCAAGCCGTGTCTCTGGAGCCGCTTGGTGGAAATACTGCAGGTATCGTAAGCATGAGGCTCATGTTTTGGAGTGGTCCTTCGGGCCGTTGGAAAGCCAGGCCCCAATGCCCAATGTGGGACCCATTGCGCTCGAATCCACGAAATGAAGAATCAGGTTTACAAGTCCCTGGCGTCTCAGCCTCTGAATTCGCGACTACAGCGACTCTCCCATCTGCATGAAAGCGATGAACCCTACAACCTCGGCTCGGACTCCCGGACCCCGCAACCCAGATCATTCCAGCCAGTCTACCCGACGGAGGAGCTTGAGCGAATGGGTGCCAACAGCTTCGCTGGACAGGGGGTTCAAAGATGCAGTACGAATCCTGCGCTGAGGAAGCTTGCCGGTGTTTTAAGAACTCCTTCAATAAGTTCCGAGAGCCTTGACATCCTGCACCCCCCAATCCGCAGTCTTGCAGGACTTTCACCTTTGCAAATGGCGGCCACCAAGCTGAATGCAGAGTTTGGGGGCATGAAGCTTCAGGGCTTGAAGACCACACGATGCAGCAGTCGTTCGAGCTTGGGATGTCCAAAGACACATGCGGTTCAATCTGCCTGCACATGGAGCATGAGGGTTCCAGCGGTGTGGTGGCTGGCTTTGTCGGGCCAAGGGCATCTGTCTGTTTAAGGGTGATCTTCCAAAATTCGGCACAACGAACCCTAAGACTAAGCATAAGCACTAAGACAGAAAGACCCTCTAGCTTCCGAGGAGAGGAGCGACAGCATCATCGGCTGGGCGCTTTTCGATCGAGATCCCTTGGAGACCTTCGACTTCGGAAACGCCTCTTGCTGCGAGCTCTAAACTCCTTGAGGCACCAAGGCCCAGGATTCGGAAGCGGGTTGAGGGCCGACGGCTGAAGAATGCACAGGCGAAAGGTAAAGAGTCCAGGATAATTATACATACATATATATATATATATATATATGTAGATGTATGTATATTTATGTTTGGCGTGGCGACCGAAGGAGCATTACCAATGCCGAAACACGAGGCAGTTACGAAGCGCTTGGAACACAGGATAGCTGAATAGGGCAATTCGACGGTGTCGGGAGTGTGCACCGACAGAGCTGTGTAGATGTCCTAGCCGTATCAACACGGGTTTAATTGGCAACAGCGGCGTAGATGTGGGTTTCTCATCGTTTGCTGTGCCTCGAAGAGAGGATAGGACCTGGTCGTTCTTGTCGAAGTGTGCCGCTGGTTCGCTGCAGGTTGCGTGCAACGGCAGTATGTTCATAACCCCAAGAGACTTAGGAGCCCATTTTTGTTTCCGGAGTTGCGCTTGGTTGCGGTACAAAGTCTTAGCCATAACACTCCTCGCGCTGTAGCTCCGAGCAGCCCGAAAGCATTGAGGAGGCCCTAGCATGCCCTAGCATCGCGAGGACCCCGGAGCAAAACTCATTGAGAATTCTGTGTTGGGGCGCTTTGCAGGGTCACGGCTTTGCGAGAGTTGAAGGGCTCCCTCGTTTGTTCAGATGCTTTGGTGTCGAGGAGTTGTGGACTTTCGGGTTTCCTTTTTGGGGTTTTACGGTTTCCAGAGATGGCTCGCTCCATGGCATTTACAGCCGCGCGAAACCTGTACCATGTCAATGCCATGAGCTTAGGTAACTTTGCTTGGTGACGCCGCCCACCCATTGTTGCCATATGGTAGCCAAGGCGCCACTCAGGTGCCCAAGATGCAGTGCAAAGTTCAGAAACATGCATTGCAGTTTACGTTGAAGTTGAATTTGAGTGGGCGAGGTCCAGGATGTGTCGGTACCAGCTGCTTTGTGAAGAAGATGCTCAGCACTTTCATGGTTCCCCACTCGTGATTGTTAGAACGGAATCCTTGTGCTGGTGTTCACAGAGTGTGAGGTTTGGGCTTCGGGCCCCTAAACTCTAAACCCTGCAAACAATCGAAGCCCAGAAATTGGCAAGACCGGTCCTGTTATAAAGGTGATTACGCATACAAAGACTTCTGTAGGCTCTACAAATGGTTGTCCCAGATATTTGTCATGGCCAGCGAGGTCGCATTTTAATGGCAATGGTCCATCGCACGTGTTACTTGTATGCCCGGCAGCACGAACGCAGACTGGGCGAAAACCCATGTTGTATTTCCCTTCCAGTTCTCCTTCGAGGCAGGCTGGCAGCAACTCAGAACATTTGGAGCTCGTCTTTGTTTGCAGCTCAGGCTACACTCGTTTCTTGACTCTCTTGGAAAGTTGCACATCAAAGCACCAACACAGGAAACGCCGGCAGCCCCAGATTTGCGAATGCTCCGGATGAAGCTCTGGTGCCTCAACCCGCAACGAACCCACAGCCTGCACGCCGTAACGATCTGAGACTGGTTCCCAGATTTTTCTCGCAGTTTTGGTGCCAAGACAGATTCTGTCTTTTCGCGGCCCATTCAGCAGAGATGCTTGAAGCCTGGTGTCCCTACCTCTCGAAGGGCTTAGCAAAGGGTTTAGGCGTGGGCTTTAGGGAGTACCTGCAGGAGGACAGCTTGACAACCCGGGCAGGCCATCATGGATGCCGAAGCTCTGGGAGTTTGCTACCAGAACGCCATGCAGAGTGGAACAGGCCACAGTCCGCAGTAGGAAGATTTCTACTTGTGATTTGAAGACTCGAGAAAACCTGCCCTGCTATGGGTTCAAAGGCACAGAGTTGAGCTCAACAAGATACAGTCAGTCAGTGCAAGGACGAAACAACCCAGAGGGTGGTAGGCACTTAGTGCGGATCCCTCAGCATGGGAATTGGTGTAGAGCTTGCGGAGCTTGTTGGCCAAGCCATGGGACTGCCAACCTCTGCAGATGCTAAGAGGAGCTGCTTTGTTTGGCCGTGTCCGGCGAATGACTGAGAAGCCCGCGACGGTGTCGATCTACAGCGGGTCCGCAGCCAGGTCATGTCCCTATGGCCACAGTGTTTGGGATGCAGTCGGGAGCAGTGCCTGCAGAAGAGGGCTTTTCTTCGACGACCAGGCAGTCATGATGGAAGAGTCTTCCCCTGGCCATGTGCATCTGTTTCCGGCGCAACACGAGAGTAAGGAGCACCTGCCCCAGCCGCGACGGCCCTTGCGTTTTGGCCGGGCAGCCCCATCCCTACCCGACTCCGTGACCCTCGGATTGCACCTCAGAGGTCTTCTGTGTAAGTCATGCAGACACGAACAAGGCCTCCATTTAGGGTAGACGCCCCGAAAGACGCATACACAAGCAATCAAAAAAAAAAAATATATATATATATATATATCTAGCCAAAAAAGTATATATATGTATATACATATGTTTTACATACATACATGCATACATGCACTTTGTATATAATGTATATGTATATGTGTATGTACGGAGAGGGTGTGATGCCCGGCAGCTTCAGCCCAGGACTACTTGGGGTCATTCTGTACATTGCCCTGTCGCCGAGCTCGCTCGCCGAGGAGTCTGCCTGCCACCTCGGGCTCCAAATGTAAAGCTGGCCGTGGTTGTCCTGCCGCAGGACACTCGAGGTTTGGTTACCAAAACAACAACGACACCAGAGTCCAGGGTCCGCCTGCCCCGTAGCCCCTCGGGTCTTTGCCTCAGCTGTGCGCTGTGCGCACAAACATACGAAGCTCTGCTGCCTTCCCAAGAGGGGGCGCGTTTGCTTCTGGAGTGGAGTAAGGCATGCCAAACGCAAAACCGGTCCGAAAAGCCTCGAGGGTCGAAAGCCACAAAGTCGAGGACCCCAATGGCCGCCTATTGATCACGCAACGCTCCGCACACATGCGAACGTTTCCAAGATGCTGGGTCTTTCCTGGCGGAGGCGTCGATGAGGGCGAGCTGCTGTTCTTAGGCTTTGCTCAGAAACACAAAGCATCAAGTTACATGTCAAAGGTGTGTGTGTGTGTGTAGGTATAAACATAACATGCATACATACATACTTGCAAGCAAACCATTAAAATGCAGGTGGGTGCATGCAATCACACACACACATATATATATATACATACATACATACATACATACATACATACGTACGTACATATGTGTGTATGTATCTGTGTATAAAACAGAATATGTACGTATACGTGTGTGTATATATATATATAATACTGTATGTATCTGGGTGTTAAGATTCATATGTATACTTGGCTTATATTTATATATGTTTGCGCGTTCGTATGTATGTATGTATGTATGTATGTCTGCATATAAGCATCGCACACACCATGAGTGTGTAAACCCATGAGGGCCCTCACTAAAGGTTTGCGGCAGGGAGGCGAGAGCTCTATGAGGAAACAGGGCTCACTGTCGACCATGCATCGATGCAGCTGCTTTGTTTCTGGGAGAGCGTCTTTCCCACCTCTGCCGACGGCTGCGTGGAGGCAGGACAAGCCTCCAGGCCGAGATTGCAGAAAAGCTCTCGTTTCAGCTCCGAAAGCTCCTAAACCCTTCCTGCAAAACTTCACGGAAACCCAAACACAAATACTTGCTTGTGTGGCTGAGCCATGTTGTCGAGCTGGCAGCAGTATGCAGACAGTTTAGTTTGGTTGTAGGATGTTGTAGGAGTTAGCACATCTAGCTGTTCGAACGCATGTGCCCGTTGCTTCCTGGACCCCTGGGCTTCAGCCCGCTGCCAAGGTGAAGGGTCACTCTGTGACGGCCTTCGTCAAGGACCTTGCTGGGTGGGAGCATGGTTCAATAATACTCCATGACTGCGGCACACTTGTTCAGACTGTGTTGCTGCATTGTGGGGAAGCACGGGAAACTACGATTTGTTCGAGGAGCCGACATGTCCACACAAAAAGCATTTCCCTGCCCATGACTGTTGTAAAGCCACTCCTACAACCCTTCTAGACTAGGCAGCAATGTTTCCCGACTCACCCCGATGCCACATAGCTGCATACGACAGCCTCGAAAGCATTTCACGGAAGCATCTAGGCCTTGGTGGAGCCGGCGAAGGCTGAGGCCTTGGCGTTGCAAAGCTCTGAATCTTGAACATGTTCATAGATCGGACAGTTGTTGTAACTGTAGAGTCATGTCACTCGGAAGTCCTTGGCTTTTGCAAGGAAGGATGCAGGTCTTCAGTCTTAGACCTTGAAATCGCCTCATTGGGTTTTGGATTCGCGCGGTTTGCCTTGATGCCTCGGCTTCGTGCGTTGGAGCCTCCCCTAATCCTCGACACTTAAGTTTAAGCCCGAAGCAATGAGTTCTTCAATCCTAAGAAGCCTTCAATCCCTGCATCTCTGAACCACTCAGTGGCAAAGCCAAGGAGTGCGAGCGCTGCGCCTGGGTTCCTTTGTCATGGCTAATGGAACCTCGGCATATTCAGGATCCAAGCTTGAACTCGGAACTGTAAAGGAAGCTCGGCTCGGATTCATGCCGGTTGTCGTAAAGAGCTGCACACAATTTGGGATGTGAGCAGCTGGCCTCGGAACTCGTCTACGTTGTGGCTGCAAGCATGCATCACTGTCCTGCAGCCCAAAGAGTATTTGTCGCCAATGCACTGGCATCATTGCCGACCAAAGCTGCTGTACGAACCTGGCCTGGCCCGAAACTTTGGCCCGCTGGCCCAAACCATTCTGGGCCAGTTCAGGGCTAAAGCTCCGAGCTTTGGTGGTTAGGACCTAAGGAGCTGCACGGCCCCAGCGCTTTCGAGCCGCGCCAGAGCGCCGCCTCGGAGGTGCCAGCGGCTCTGCCAGCGCTGCCAGGGTGGCAAGTGGCCACTGGGCCAGAGCACAGGGATGCACAGGGCTTTCCAGTATCGTGAGGTTGAGAGCTGTAAGGTGTCGGGTAATTTCGCCACCCAACGGCTCTATCGTGTGTCGGCTTGGCTGCTCGGACGCAGACAAGGGCTTTGGGGTAACTAGCGTCGTGTTGTGAAAGTGTCGAGAAAAGTTGCCGGATGCCGCAGGCCCCTGGAGTCGGAGTGGTTCTGGTCCGTTCTGGTTGCACATCGGAACATATGTGGGCGTGTTAGCACTTCACAGGAGACAGCCCGATGAAGGTTCGCGAAAGCTTGTTTCGGATCACTCGCTGGCTCCCTGGTTTTAGTCTATCGAGCATTGGTAGTGCTTGGACAGTGCGTTTAATAGCCTTCTAAGCAAGAGAATTTTCAGCTAAGTTTTGCAGCTCCGGCTTCGGATGCTGGAGTGTTGGGTTTCCGTTTCTCGGCCTTTCGAGGGTTGTGGAAGTTTGGTTGAAGAAACAGGTTTCGAAATTGAGTTTCTTTTTTGTGCGTTCGCGCTGCTTCAGGGGCTACACCTTGTGCTATGCCCCAGAGATCAAGAACTGTTATCCTTGAAGGTCCCATGAAGCCTGGGCCTACAACGAAAGCTTACAGGGTTAGCAACGATTAGTATGCCGATTCAATAATCCCAGCATCAGCACACGTGCCTTGGAGAGCCCTCTGTGCCGGAACCGTGGATGATTGCGGCCTCTAGCTCAACGTCAACCCCGAAACTCGTGAGCAACCCCCGCGCCTGCTCCAGTTGCAGCCTAGGTGAGGAACGCAGACGGGGACACGCAACCGCTCGACTTAGCAGCTGCAGCGAAAGAGCACAAGTTCGAGTTTATTTTGGTCTCGGCAGTCGGGTTATCCAAAGTTTGGACTGTCCTATTTCGGTGGCTGTAAGCAGGGAAATTGGATTTAGTGTGAGTGAGGCCTTCATGTGTCGTAAATTGCAGCACTTAGTTTTCAAGGCTACGTCGAGATGTGCAAGAAAGCTCTGGCATTGATTGTTACGATGAATCTGAAGCACGCAGCAGAAGATGAAACGTGTCCACAAAGACGTTTGAATGAGCGGGGCCACGAGGTTCCCGGGTCATAACCATGTCGCCTCATGTTATTTATTGAGCCCGAAGCTGGACCATGATGCCAGCTGTACGAAGGCGCGATCCATGGTGCCATTTGGTTTTAGCAGAAGCCTGCATCCTAGGCAACATGCCGAATCGAAGCTTCTCAGCTACAGGGCGCCATGGCGGGGTTAATTCAGTATTCATTGTACGCGGCAGAGTTTGGGATGGTTTGGCGAGGGCCTGTCACGGATAGCTGTAGCTGTAAGGGTGGAAATCTGATCCCAATGCAATGAAACAGACCGGTTGATGAACCCTTCATTAAACCTCGGTAAAATGCAGCGAATATAGGGAGGGTGCGGTTTACCGATTTCCGACCGTCTGAACATATCAGGATAGTATGAGTTTACGCTTTTGCAAACTCACGTCAAGCATCAGAACCTCTTGGTAAGAAATACGTCTATAGTATGTACGACTCATCAGTGCTTTTCTAAAAGTTGTTGCTGTTGGCCAGTATTTTCTGCGCTGGCACCATGACTATGATGACTCTATGATGATACTGTCTCCACTGCTGTATGGAAGGAAACAGTTCTTAATATGAATGTCATATTATTGCAGGGCGAGCTATTTGGCCTGTTGTTGCTAGTAGGGTTCGCCCTGCTCACAGTAATGTTGTTGTCACGGGCTACTAGTCGCTACCACGTTACTACAGATGCGGACCTTTCAATACCGCTTGTGATTCTTTGCATAGTTTCGTATCATTTCTGGTCAGGACCAAGGGCTTGGATTCATCTCTGCCAGGCATCTACCCCAATGCCATCGGGGAAGGTGTCGGCCAGGGGCACCTCTACGCCCTCAGCATGCTGTCAGAGGAGACTTCCGAAGTCTCGAACCTTTGAGATGGCGTTCGGGCAAAAGGGCACATGCGTCAACATCCACGTGTACAAGTGTGGCTACAACACTGTAGCTACCTGTTCAAACCACATGAAGGAATCCAACTGGTTGTTTACCGCATTGCCCTTTGGGGAGGCTTTGGGCGATGCCGTATGCGGTCGTAGTTGGGGGATAAAAATATTGTTGGCAAGCGTGATTCGGGTAGTGGGGTAGTTGGACGACAACCGGCAAACGAGAATGAAGGTCGCACGGGGGCAGAATACACAGCAGTTTGTGAGTGTGGTACATACACGTGTACGGCATTCGAGTTGCACGAATCGGTAGCTTTCAAGCTTAAAAGCCCTGGAGCAACAACATGGCCGCAGACTGCCGGCAAGCGCCATCAGAAGACTGCGAAAATGCACGGATCGAGATATAATAACAGCATGCACTGGCAATTTCACCAGAACCACATGCTCACCGGCTCAAGGCCCCTGCCCCGACGCATACACAGAGAGACAGAGACCCTCCATGATCGTGTTCCTCACAGCAGTAGGCCAGAAAGGTTCGCATTAATGTGCCCGTTTAAGGTCTTGAGGGATTCTAACTCGGCAAGGCATCGAAGCCCAAATCGGACGACAACGGATTCTGAAACAAGGATGGCCCTGAAGCTTCCTAGAGCTCTGAATCCATTAAAAGAGAGAACCGACCCGGAATTTCAGGGTGTAGAACGATGTAGAGGCCAAATTTGGGGCTCGAGGTGCAGGGTCGTGTGTAAAACATATGGCTCGAAGTGCAAGGTTTGCGGCCAAAGGCAAGCCCTTACTCCTCAACCTTGCGCCGCAAACCACAGCCAAGCTCCCAACTTGTGCCGCTTGAATTCCCAGATCGGGGTCGCAAAGAGAGGAAGGTTTGGGATGATAAGGCCGCCTGGGTTCAGGGGTTGAACCCGAAGCCGAAGACAGGGAACACAGGCATGCGGTCCAAAACCTAGCAAAAAGAGTTTGCTTTGACATGTTGAAGTCTCTGTAAGCTCTGTTCAGGCATCCACGGTTGCATCAAGGCAGCATGGGCCTGGACGATCACATGGTCTGAAGTTTGCCGGGCAAAGGTTTTTGAGGTTTAGGATTGATCAACACGTCATCATAGATATTATAGGAAGCGCGTGGTGCTTGATGGTGCCTTAGGAACTTTACCTCCCAAGGGCTATCGGAGTTTCACACAAGGCTTGCGAGATGAGGAGCTTGCGGGTTTTTGGGTGCAGGTTATCGAAAGCGTTGTGCATGATGTTTGCATTCAGGCGCTCAAGAGTAGGTTGTTTGCAGTCGGCGAAGTCAAGTTCACAATGTATGAGTCGAGCTGTTGTAGAAGGTGGCATACAAAAGACACTGACAGAACATTGATCTCTTCAAGTCCTTTGCATGCTCGAGGATGCCCTAGCTTGAAGGTTACGGATCAGGGACTTTGAAGAAATTGTGAAACAGACGCGCACACACCCATACGTACAGAAGTTGTGCGGCCGCAAGCTTCAGCAACTCGCTTCAACTCCAAAGCCAAAGCCGTGAGGCTTATTCGGACCTGCGTTGTGAGGTCACGGGCAAGGCGCCGGGTGGCAAGCCAGGTTCAAGCTTTAGCGGGTTAGTCAAAACATGGGCTTCCCCGTAAGCCACCGTTCGACAATGGGCTCTTCCTATCCTTGTTACTCGGGCAAGTTTCATCGCAGGGCACCTTCTACGAAGTAAGCAAAGCCCGCAACGGAAGGCAGCCGGAGAAAGGCGCCAACACCGAACGGTCACTAGCGCCAGACCGGAAATCACTTGAATAGCAGAAAATGACTGCCGCGGCACTGAGGTGCACAGACACGGTTTCTTTTTCCTTTGGCCTGGCCATCATCGTATTGCAAGCCTTCACGCCTATTCTGTACAGCCATAAGACTCAATTAAGCTTCTTGAAATTTAGATGCCTTCTGGATGGATAGCATTGCAAGGTTTTCCTTTCTCGTAGTTTTTCGTTCCTATTGCTACTATTCGTTGACCAGTCGTCTTGATCTTCTTGTTTCTTCTTTGTCCGACGACCATATACGCATCCCTGGCACGCCAGTTGACTAGACACCTAGCTGGTCGCTACATCGGCTGGCTTTCCTCTGCTACCCAGCCCCTGGTGTGGCATCCCACTTGCCGAGTTTAATTATTGGTCTTTGTTTCGCTCCTTTCAGACCAGCTTGACAGTTTCTTGAACATGTGGGCTTTACACCCGGCGCAGAGCGAGCAGTGTCACGATCCGCCCTGGCTTGGTGGGTTCATCTCGCAAGTAGGTATGTATGTATGTATGTATCTAACATATGTGTTTATGCATGCGCTACGGGTGTTAGTCAGAAAGCTTTTGTCCAAAGAGATGTGTTTCGAGCGCGGTATCGTTTTGTCTTGTGACTTGTGCACTTCGAACACCCTCGTCGTGGCCCCAGATTGCCCGTGAAGAAGAAACACTTGGCCCTGATAAAACTTCATTAAAACCGCGCTTTCAGCTTTCACACTGCAACCAATCCCACTCTCAAGGTCTTGGAACCAAATAGGGAGTAAAGCCACGGTAGAAAGAATCGAGCGGTGCGGAGGTCGTCATCGCAAATCGGGAGATGGGATCCACGGCGGTGCTCAAAGTGGTCGACGAGCAAACTCAGGCCGCACTGGCTAATGTCCCACCCATTACATTGCAAGTTCTACTTCTCCTGCGCATACACTTTGAGCTTCCACAGCCCGCCGGCTGCGAGACAGCTACATACGGGTGAAGGCACTCATTTCTATGTCATAAACTTCCCGGAGCTGGTTTTGGGGCCCACTATACTCTCTCTCTCTCTCTCTCTCTATATATATATATATTATAAGCAAAATCATAATAATAGTAATTGTAAGGAACCCCCCATCTCATCCACAGCACAGGGCATGGACTTGGGAGCCAAGCGCCAGTGGTGCGCTGAGCACGGCCCGCGGCTTCACGACGAGGTTAGGGGCCTATGGAGATTCGCGGGCTTCAGAAAATTACGGGGTCGTTATCCTTATCATTCTACGGACACCGATATCGGGAACAGCCACAGGATTGGGGCGAGTCCAAAACGAGGTTTGGGGCAGTTTGGGCTTAGACCTAGGGTTTAGGGCCTCAGCCGCAAGCCCCATGGCCTAAGCCGAGAGACCGAAGCCAATGTTGGGCATGCTCTGTTCTGCAGGGATTTAGAATTATGGCCGTTCACGGGTGTTGGGCCATGACTTTACTTGGGTTTGGGTGAACCTAAACTTTCCTTTCCACGAAGCTCTTGTCTTGGAGTGGTGTCGTCGCAGTCGCAGCAGGAAGCTAGCACATAAATGAAGAAATCTGCAGGGATTTAGGGTTAAGCATCTACGAAAGCGGAGGGGGCGCTAGATACCCCAAGAATCTACGACGGACGAACGCACCCTCAACTCTGCATCGAGGATGACTGGGAAACCTTCCCAAAACCTGTCATGCTGAAATGGATGAAATCCCGAATGCTCAAGGTCGCTCGGCTGGCGGGAAAGAGGTGGTCGTTCGAGATTGTAACTGTTGAAACAATGTCACGATCCTAATGTAGCTGCGCGCCCTGGGCACCGAAGCACGTACCTGAAAATCCAAAGGCCGTCCACACGGAAACACGCAGCCTGAAGAAGGTATTGAAGCCTCCATAAGATATTACGAAGCACAAAATTCAAACAGTATTCCTGCGTTGGCTGGAACTGCAAGAAAAACGACAGTACCGAGCTTTATAAGCACAACCGTCGCACAACGACAGCAGCAGCGACAGCACTGCAGCAACACGAACAGCAACACCCAACAGCAGCAGCAGCAACCACAACGACAACGTTCCGCCACCACCGCCAGCAGCAGCAGCAATAGCAAGAGGTACACGTATGACTCATGTGATTTGCAAGACGAAGAGGTCATCCAGAAGTACCGAGCCTCCATGCCAAAGAGCGTTCGAGCGACGAAGCTGCCGTCAGCAGCATCTGCCTAGGCCCATGGGGGTGCTGGGGCTTCGAAAGCATGTATATGGGTGTTGCAGGGGCGTTTGGTGTGAGAGGGCTCAGGGGAGACCCGAGGGTTCCGCATAGTTTCACACGGTTTGCCAGGGTTCAAGGGTTTTTCAGTGTGATCCCGCCCCTCCCACCACCCCACAGTGTGGTCCCGCTCCTTTCCGCCTGTGTTGTGCTTCCCTGCCGGTGGCGTGATTTCTGCTTGGATGCCGATCATAACTGTCACAACATCGACACCCCACTCCGCGGTTTGGGAGGTGGGTTGTGCTCCGGTGGGAGCCGCATCCCGCGACCTGCCCCGCAAAATGACGACGGCCACGCAGGCCACGACCTTCCTGCCAGACGCTGTTTCTATGTTTGAGATGCGAAGCTGCCCCCGAAAACTGCGACTAAGCACTCCCATCAGGCTCCATCCTTGTGTTTGTTTGAAGTTGTAAGTTGCTCACTCGCGTTGGAACGCAATTCGCCTTTGAAAGATTTCGCAGGGCTTCAATCGATTATTTGGACAGGCTCAGTATCCCTCCAAAATGTACCGGGTTATGGCCATGGCTGCTGGAGCTGCAGTGTCAGCATTCTACCACTTCGACCACACAAAAGCTTGCAACAGCCTCCTGGAGAGGGAAACAACAGCAAGTTTATGGGAGCTTAGTCGTGCGGTAGACTGGGCCACTGATTTCACAACGGATGACTGGACGCAGCTGGGTCGGAAATGTGACGAGCGCGCAACTCACGAAATGATGGTCATAGAGCCCATGAGTGAGAGTGCCGCTGGAGCCGTTGCCATTTGCTTACCTTCAGCCTGCCAGCATTCGGCCCTGCCAGACGCTGTTACATCACTGGTGCGGCAGCACTTTTCCTGGCTTTTCCCCAGTCCTGCTCCATTGTCGAAGCAGGATGTTCGAAGAAGCACTCTTGCTGTGCCAGGAATTCAGGGGGATCACCGGTGTCATGCCAGCTGTCCGACGTGTGCCGACACGCCTGGTTTAGAGTCGCAGTCCTGCGCACGCCTACTAGCAGAGTACAGACTCCGACGTGGGACCCTTCCATGGCCTAAGCTTGGAAGCGAAGGTGATCCGCGGTTTCGTTGCGGATTCGACGTGTTCCTACTATGAGCGGCCACAGCGAGGCTTGTCGGTCGAGACGCCTCGCTCGTCCCCCTGCAAAAGCTAGGATTGCACTTGCGCCCAGATGGGTGTCAGAGGTTGCAAAAGCTGCGGACAAGCCAACCCTTTTCGTGGCAGTGTTATGTCGGCCACAGGATGTGGTTTTGCGAAGCTCGGTGCGAACAGGCTGGGCTTCAGGAGGTGATAGCGACACCAGCCCTTGGCGTTATGGCTTTGTGATAGGTTGGTCGGGGCTCAGTGATGCGGAGCAAGAGCATCTCGTGCATGAGGCAGACAGCTTTGGCGACATCATTGCAATCGATGTAGCTGATGCATATACCAATCTGACACTGAAAGTGTGTCATTTGCTGCATTTAGCCGTGCAGATAAAATCTGAATATTTTCTACGGCTCAATGGCAACGAGCGTTTGCAAGTCGGGCGTTTGGTGGAGTTGCTTCGCAAAGACCTGCAAGTTGAAAAGTTACATCCTAATGGCTTTGTTTGGGGCCAGAGAGGTTGCATGCTTCCGCATGTCTTTGAACAGCTTTCCTGCGGGACGACATCGCTGAAAGACTGGCCACTTCTGGTTGATGGACGTCTATTACCGTATCCACAGGCTTCATGGCTGGCAAGCAGGAAAGCCTACGAGAACATGGCAGCTGTACTTCAGACTTTGGTCGGCTCCCGCTTGCTTTTGCATTGGGTCGAGGAGGCTTTCATGGGCATGCTGGCAACAGCTGCAAATGTACCGATCCTGGATATAGCTATTGATGGGCGCTTTCTTTTCTTGGGCGTGAACTGTAGCCAGGGCTACGTGCTGTTGGAGGAACTGCCCCAGCAGCTGGCGATGCCGCGGAAAGGCTGCTATTGAAAGCTTACCATGTGCGTATCTTAGCCACCAGTCACGCTCAAGGCTCAAGTTGCTCATGCTTAAGGTTGCAGGCTCATCGAACGTGGCTGATGCAAAATCCTGGCGATCGGTGCGTGAGTGTGAGTGTGTGTGTGTGTGTGTGTGCGTCTGTGCGTCTGTGTGTGTGTGTGTGTCTGTGTGTGTGTGTGTGTCTTTGTGTGTGTGTGCGTGTCTGTGCGTCTCTGTGTGTCTCTGTGTGTCTCTGTGTGTCTCTGTGTGTCTGTGTGTGTCTCTGTGCG